TAAACGCGAGATGGCTTCTCTTTGAGCTTAAACACAATTGATATAACGTACCCAAAAGTTCAAAATCACCATGGTAATTTCTCAAGAATGTTTTAGCCCTCTAAAAAAAATCATTTGAACCAGTTGACGCCCTCTAAGAACTAGAGACAATCAGTAATCTAACTAGACGGCAATATAATTCATCCAATATGCTGTAATTCTGAACCGGATTCCATACAACCATATCAAACAGAGAGTCCAGAATTGTAAGATATTTGTTTCAACGATCAGCATCGTATCTTTAATTTCCCCTAGATCATCACCAACGTAACAACAAGTAGCCACCCAAATTAGTTGTAAGTTCCAACTTCCAAGTTGTATAAACACACATATTTCCGAAGATATGTATCTTTTGCCTTTCAAAAGTTTATGCAACGCTATCCATCAAAACGTCTATTAACGAGGAGTTGATAGCACTAGCTTAAAAAAAAATACCCTGAACAAATTCCCCATACCGGCATCGAGCACGATCTAAACAACTGAATCTTCATAATTAGCTACTGAGAAAACACATAGTTCAAGTACCTTTCACCTATAACCGATAATTTTAGCGAAAACAACTATACCCATCACCCATCACCCATCACCAATATTAGTCGTGTGAGACTAAAAGACCACCACCACCACCACCATCACCACCACTCTGAGCACCCACCTCGTGTATAAGAGTCCTTCGCTATGTACATGATAACACTGGTCTCTGTGCTCTGCTACATTACATTGACAGATGGTTTTCTTTCTTTTTCTCCCAATTTAAAATTTGTTCTTCCGGTTCGCTAATAGTTAAGGCATGTTGATTTTAATTCCGGTGGATTTAAAACGGTGAGAGTTCAACTTCAAGCTTATGCTTACAGAGAAAAAGAAGTTATTATTTAAAGGATATAGTTGTATTGTAGCTTTCCACTTGTTCAAAGGGCAAGTGGATATGATTTAAGAAACTCAGCTTTGAACGCAGCTCCATACGTTGGCTAAGCAGATTTATCTCGTTCATCTTGTGGCTTTGAGGCCAGACCGTTAGAATTTAAAGGTATCTTTTCGCTAGAGGCAAGGTACTAGGTACTTCTAAAGATCAAAAGCAAGGTATAAAGATGCTGGGTACTCTATTCACGGTGTGAAGCTTCAAGCTTGTCGGGTTGCGGTCGGTGGTACCGTAGTTTGTTGAATCTTGATAATACACATAGTTAAATTTTAGTGTAATATGCAACTCGAAAATTTTCACCACACCTCGAACCAGATTTAAATCGAAATGTACACTTCAAAGTTCACGCTTAAGATCCAAGATATGCATACAATTCAACGCGTGCATTGATGATGGATCTACTTTGGATCAACAAATTATAAAGCAAGTTGAAGTGTACAACTATTTGAAAAGTGAAGCATATCATCGATTCGATATATGGCTTGCAAGTACTATATTTGGCTAATAATATTAAAACCTTTACAATATTGTCACAAACCCATGATAATCTCGTGAATCAAAGGATCAACATCTAAGGATTTGAAGTCGAAATTTCATACTAGATGTCGGTCTACGTACTATAATACAACTTAACTATAGCCAACTTCAACACAGCTCAATATCAAAGGCATGAAACAAACGAATTTCCTTACGATGTTCCTGAAGTACTAGCTAAGTATAAGTAGTACGCACATGATATAGCTAGAGACTAAATGCCAGCTGGAGACGTTGATCAAGATGGTCTTTAAAAGATCAGCTTCTTATAATGAAGGTTATAAGTGTGAACTTTAAAACCCGATACATATTTGATATACGCATCAAGTATATTTTGCTTGCGGATCTAGAGGGACTTGTTAAAAAGCTTATAATGTTTTGCAATTTCTTCTAACTTAAGCAAAGTTGAAGCTAATTTTAAACTTCACTAAGCATTTATGAATTCATTGAAAATTATATAACATGTACTGGATAATTGAGAGTTAAACACATACGTCGGTGTACCTAGAGGCTAGTATCTAAAATTAGTGCTTATAAGAAGTTAGGTATATACCAACGGTAACCCCAAGATTATTAAGGGCCAACCTTTCAAAATGTAGAGTAGTACCAATTTATTTTGATCCCTTATAATTGACTGATAGGTGGCTTGACTGAACATGAAATATTTGATATTGTTGTTGATCTGAATATATAATATATTATTTGGTCTAAGACATCTTCTATGGCTATCAGTTAGACATTCTAGAAGCCTTATAATGTTTGTCTAAAAAGTTGAAACTTGTCGAATCAAGCTTAATATCAAGTGAGCGTATAATAAGAACATAAGAACTATACTATAGACTCATTACAAAAGTATATGGATGGAGAGTACACGCACTAGTTGATTACAAATCGCAATTGAATAGATAGATCGAGAATCTAAAATGTAATATAATCACAATCCCTGTACAGTGTGTTATTGAAAGACTTCTATCAGCTAGACCCTTAGACCAAATTTGATCTATAAATATGACATCCTATAATTGGACGTGTATAGCTTGATAACTTCCTATAAAGACGTTTTTTCAACGTCATCATCTATAAATTCACTTATATAATTTACTACACTGAATCTAAGATGCAATTTTAAGGTACAGCTACATTTGAAGTATAGCTTGCATGCAAATTTCTAACATATAACATGAATTTTATCATCTAATGTAACATTAAGTACCTTACACTTGTATAAAGATATGTATACACGGACCGAAGATTGTAATTGAGCTAATTCATAAGTTGTACTATAGGGAATCGGGATAGATAGTATGTATGTGATGCGACACATCATGATGAAGTTAGAGATCTATCATATTCATTATATTTATCTAAATATACTTGAAAGTTGACTCCTTATTTAACTTCGATTCGTATAAAGAACAAACACATATATATAATCAATTTAATTTTTGATCAAGATCTATATAGTACTAGCTTCGTAAATGAATTCAACATGAACACATTCTTGAATTCAATTGAAGCATATAGATGTATTCTTAATCATACCAGCACTATCCAATAAACATGGGATCGAGTCAATGGTTAAAATTAGCCATATTGGTAATTAATATTACAATAGCTGTTGAAAGCTAGTAACCAAATCAATTAAAACACCCAACAAATATTCAGTTTCAAATCAACTATACCTATCAATCAACAAGAAGATCATGTAAAATACAATTAACAGTACTTTATGATCAAATTTACTACACATCATTGCTTTCTTGATAGTTCAGACGCTCATCATGAATGAAAGACCTTTTCAATTCCATGAATATTCATCATACAATATATACACAATTGAATCAAGAATTTATAATAGATCCTGTTCAAACACTCAATACTTCAGCCTTCTGTATACCCAATATATTCTCTAATTTGATCCAAGAATCCAATATATTGACGTGTCAATATATCCATAAGCCATAAGCTTCAGATTCATACAATGCAGGTACACCATAAACTGTAATTAACAAGTCAACATCAAACTTACCAGCCTTACTCTAAGCAAATTGATGGCTGATGGAATCAATTAAATTAAAAACTAACAAATATTAGCTCAAAATTCCATTAAAGAACCAAAGTCAACGAATAAGTTCAACTGTGAACAAATCTTCTATAATATTATTCAACAGGTACCAATATAATCATCAATCTTCATGAAAAACCACAAATCTGACCTTGATTTAAGACATACCAGCCTCAACCCAATCATCTAATATGATAAAGAATCAAAAGGCAATAAAGCTATAGCCTATAACCAAGTAATTTTTGCCGTATCTCAAAATATACATCTCCATGGGGAAGACAAGATCTTCTTATGAATAAGCTAGCTATAAGCTAGCTGAAGTTCATTAAAGCTTACAGTGTTAAGTAACACATATTTTATAAGAGTAAGTATATGTCGATTAATTAATAAGAAATGTTGAAATTATGGTTATGAAGCAATATATGTTGGTATATGTTGAGCTGTTTTATCAAGGTTGATATTCGAATGGTTAAGACGTTAAGACATGAAGATACTGTACAGCTAGATCTAGACTACTATATATATATATAGTCGATACAGCTTGAGCCGACGTATATAACTTTATTACCAGCTTCATAAAGTTAGGAATTATGATTGAAAAGATCATCAATTATTAGAACATTATGGAATGATTTTAAATTCTATGAATATTCAAATTTGTATAATAATATATATTCAAAAAAGACAAATAGACAAAATTGGATTTAAAAATTGGGATAAAGTTTTGAAAAGAATAAATTTAAGGAAGAGATATAAAAAATAATGAATGAAAGTAAAAAAAGATGAGATATAGTTTAAAAATATGATAATTGTTTTGTTGGTTCTAATTAAAATGAAATTTCTCTGTTTTGATTTATAAAATTTGATTTTGAATTCTTCTTATTACTTAAAAATTTTGAATGATGATGATAAAACACAAATGGAAAGAAGAAGATAATTGTTTGATCTTTCTTTTTTGTAAGATTTGAAGTGAATTGTTTTAAAACAACAAACATAAAAAAATATGAGATAAAAAGATTTTTTAAAAAAAAAATATGGAAATGAAGACAATGATAAAACTTTAGAATGAATTCCATGCAACAATTGTTTGATAAAATTAATAAAAAATATGAAGAAAAAAAACAATAAAGATAAAGAGAAATTCATTTATAAAAGAAATAATAAAAACAATAAAGATAAACAACAAAAATCCACTTTTTTAATTTTTTTTTTTTACTTCAACAAGTATTCTATTTCACAATTTTTCCCCTTCCTTAAGTGATTATTCTTTCCAAATTGAAAAAGGTGAATGATAATAGTAATTTAAAAAAAAGATAAAACAAAGCATTAATAACAGTTCATTGATCACAATAAAATATAAAATTTGAGCAGAAAAATCAAAAGACAAAATAATTTATATTTCAAAAACAATATGAAATAAAAAAGATAAATCTTTTAATTAGATTATAAGATTGTACATTTCTTTGAACCTGATTTTTTACCACTTTGTTTCTTTTCTTTAGCCATTAATGAAGCTCTAGTAGCAGTTTTGAAAACTTCATCAACGTTATAATTTCTTTTAGCAGAACATTCAATATATTTAATAGCACCAATTTTATCAGCAACAGCTTGACCTTCACTTGCAGAAACTGGAGCTAAACCTTCATCTCTTAATTTTTGAATAGTTGATGGATCATCTCTTAAATCAACTTTACAACCAACTAAAATAATTGGAACACCATGACAGAAATGTAAAACTTCAGAAATCCATTTTTCTTGAACATTACCTAAAGATTCTGGTAAATCAATTGAAAAACAAATTAAAACAACATTAGTATCAGGATAAGATAAAGGTCTTAATCTATCATAATCTTCTTGACCAGCAGTATCCCATAGAGCTAATTCAACTCTACGACCATCTAAATCAACATCAGCAACATAATTATCGAAAACAGTTGGGACATAAATATCTGGGAAAGTACCTTTTGAGAAAACAATTAATAAACAAGTTTTACCACAAGCACCATCACCAACAATGACTAATTTTCTTCTAATATCTGTTTGTAATTGTGACATTATGTGATTATATTATATGTGGATATGTAATGTATGTTTTATGTTTGTCTTGGGTGTAGGTTTAGTGTTTTTTTTTTGTAAGTTACTATAAACAAAAAAAAAATTAAAATGGAATGATGAATCAATGAAAGGATTTCTTGATTATTAAATTAGAAATCTAATGATAATATATGAGAATTTATTGGAAACTATAATTTGAAAATGTTAGTAAATTGAAATTGGAAATAATGAATGGGAATTTCTTGGTATAGAGAAGCTGAATGTGTTTAGTGTATAAGCTGTTGTCCATATGTATACCCATATTGATAGATTACAATCCCAATGGTTTCCGATGCTTTCCAATGTTGTTTTTGATCTTTGAAACTCTAGAAAACTCTGGGAAAATTCCACAGATCAAAGGGATTTCTTAATTCTGATCCGTAATCCAAAACAACCCCAAATCAACAACAAAATGAACTTCAACATCACCAATACATCAAAGAATAATAATACACACCTCTTCTGTTTTTAATAATCTCTGATTCGTAATTCACAAACTAATTGTTCAAGTTGGAAGGAGGCAAGATTTTGATTTTTTTTGGGCCGCAAAAAAGATAAACACAGAAATCAGAAATCAACACTTCACCAGATTAGGAACAAAGCAAAACAACCAAACAAACAACCGCTGTGGGAATTGCGTAGGCAGACACACAGAGGGACAGGCAGAAACACAGACAGGTAGAAGCTCTCTCTCTCTACCAACAGGAATCACTAGTTATACTCACGAGAACTGATTGAGCTTCTTAATCTTTTGATTCAATTAACAAATGTTTGAATGTTCAAGTTTTGGTTTTGTTTTCCACCGCGTAGAAATTTTGAAATTTTATAAATTTTTGATTTTTTTGAGTGCGTGTTCAAAATTGACAGGGTGGTGTATGGGTGTTCGCGGTAGGTAAAGTTGCATTTCTACGGGGTGTGGTGTGGGCAGAGTTGGGCAGAGATAGGCAGAGATCTGGGTGGGAGTACTGCGTAGAGCTCTAGGCATAGCCTCTGTCTAGTGCAATCCCACTTCCACAGGGATCCATAGAGGTATGTAAATGAAACTAGCATTAATCAACCAACAATTTCAATGTCAATTCCAAATGGATCTGGCCCAGGGACCCCTAGAAAAAAGGTCTTTACGAGTAGCATTGTGCTGTCTACTGAGATCTATACTGTCCTTATAATTTTGTATCGTAGTTCCTATCTAATTTGTCTGGATCAATTTATTCATAGATCAATAGATTCTAGATCAATTAAGGTACATTATAACATGGGCCTTAGATATATTACATTCCGAAGCCAATTAAATCAAAGGGAATAGATCAATAGGAATACTCAACTACAACTAATACACTTTTCATAAACAGATCCAAAAAGACAAATTGTATATCTTGATATCCTTATGATCTTAATACTAGTTCAATATTGATTCTGTTCTATTTATAACTATTTAAATTAGCACACGATTTGATATTCTTCGCTAAAATTTAAATTTCAAAGCCTCGAATTTGTATGGTTATTTAGGCTAAATGGATTTTAGATCAATAGATCATTAGGTACATATATATCATGATATCATATCAATATATCTATAATTATCACTAAATATTTGTATCATATTTGTCTACAAAATACATCAAAATCAAAAACTTTATCTATTATACAAAAGTGTATCATAAAAACTGGAATAAATTGTATCATATTGTATATCATAAGATCTTAAAGAGGAAAAGTCATATACCATGACTCTATGCAATTAACATTATTAAAAAACAGAAATATATGTCAAAGAAATGAATAAATAAATTAGATCAACTAGTTTGTATTAAATAATAAATAAAAAGTTCATTCAACTCTTGTTGAATTACTTTCTTTTAAATATTTAGCAAATTTACTAGTTTCATGAATACCACATTCTGTTTTATTTTGACCTTTCCAACGACCAGCTCTTTCATCTTCACCTTCTTTCACAGGTAATGTAGAATGATAATCACCAACAGATCTATAACCAAGATCTAATAATTCATTATAAGGAACATTATTATTTTTGATATATTCTAAAACTTGTTGGAATGACCAATTTGCAAATGGATTAATCTTGATGATACCTGATGATTCTTCAATTTCTATAATTGGTAATGAATTTCTTGCACCACCTTGAGATCTTCTTCTTCCGGTAAATACAGCAGAAACTTTTAAATCACGATAAGATCTTTGAGTTGGTTCAACTTTTGCATAATAATCATATTTTTCATCATTAGTTTCCCATAATGATTCACCATGTTTTTGAGAAAATTCAAATTCATTATTACAATCTAATGGTTTATAAATATTAATTTTATTATTTGGATAACGTGATTGAATCTTGGAAACTAAATCTAAAGTTTGTGGGAAATGATGTAAAGTATCAATGAAAATTAATTCAATTTTAAAACCTTTTGGTAATTTTGATAAAATATCAACTGTAACTAAACCTGTTAAACCAAATGCTGTAGTTTGAAATAAATTTGGGAAAGTTTCAATTGACCATTCAATAATTTCTTGAGGAGTTTTTTCAATTAATGTTTTATTTAAATGATCTAAATATTCTTCTGATAATATCACTGAATTACCAACTAATGAATATGGTTTTAATTTTGATTCTTCTTGAATTGAATTTTGATTCTTTATACTTGTAGACATATTGTTCTTATAATTCTTATGTGTGTATATATGATAAATTTCCACCGCGAATAATCTCGAGGATGCTAATGTGAATATTAATTTAGTATGTGAATATCTTTTGAAATC